ACGCTATCATGTTAGTTTATGTCAATATGCACACACTACTTTTTTTGAGGGATTTAACAATCGTGATACTAATCTAGTTAGATAATCAATTATACAAAAAGTGTAAGATTATAAAATTAATTTGTTACAATATATAGGAATATTTTGTTTAAGACTAGATTGGTGGATATGTTATTAGTTTCAAGATAGATGATTTCATGATTTAATGCTATAGTTATATCAATGATTCGGAATCATTTGATAGTATATGTTTTTTCAGAAGTAATCTGTTTCTTAATTTAACTCTGGGTGGGTCTACGATTTCGATAATAAAAATTAATATTGGGTTTTAATAACTGGCATTTATTGGTTGATATTATATTAAACTTAATTCTAATGATAGTAAGGCTTCGATCAAGGCATAAAAGATCTAGAATGCTCTCAAGCACCTCCCTCAATATAATCAGCTAGTAAACGAAATCATGCACAAGCACCGTAATTAATTGAGGTCATTCTTGTAGTAATTTTGCTAAAAGTTCATAGTACAAAATAAGAATCTTAAATTTTAGCCGATAAATACAAGTTTATAATAAAAAAAGATGGTCTAGACCACCATTTTTTTAATTACAATAACAAGCTTACTTGGCTGTTTAAATTATGTTTCACTAATCAAAAATTGAGCACTGATCTGTTGATTTAGATACTTAAAAGCATCCTTAGTCCGAGTCATAGCTTCTTAATAAGGATTCACAGGATTTGGTCGCTAATTCCCATCAGAAAGATTAACAGATCAAATCACATGATAGTGTTAGCTTATTATTTAGATTGTTGATTGGTGTGTTTTATACTTTCATATTATAGTCAGACCTCTTTAAATGCATACTCTTGGAACTATAGTAAAAAATTTCAAAAATATGCACTTAGAGAGAGCATGCATTTATAGAGATTAAAATCTTTAATTGTTATATTACTTGGGACCAATCAGAGATGTGCATTTAGAGAGACCTTTCATATAGCGTCATTTAGGGAAGTCTGACTGTATTAATTTGTGTATGATTAATATGTTCCCTGAATTCTCTAAATTAACTAAATATGCTAAATCGACCAAATACTCTAAATCGACCAAATGCATCAAATCGACCAAATGCGTTAAATCGACCAAATGTGCTAAATTCACTAAATGCAGTAAACTCTTAAAGTTCGATCTAATGACCTATTGCTATACTATGTATATATAATCGTGGTTTGTGATTACGATTGTATATAATTGGATTGATATAGTAATCATTCTGTCGATGTCTTTATACCATAGTTTATTGACAAAAATTATCTTGTTAAAGTCTTTGAGTTGATTGAATCTTGTATAATCTTACTTGTAAATATGTGATTCCTTTGATTGATTCATTATGCGATTAGAGTTTCATATGTTAAAACCATTTTTATTCGATTTTATCATGTGACAAATAAACCTGGTTTCAAATCTAATTATGATAGCAATGTTACTTGTTAAGAGATAACTACGCCATAATTTATGTAGATAGAAGATTAGAGATGCCACCGTGATCAAGGCTATGGTTATTCAGTTACAAGTGGCTTATCGGCCAAATTATCATAATAAACAGCCTCAATAAATGGACACAAAACTCCAAACATCTAAAAAACTAGTACACATAAAATAATTAAGCCGAAGAAGAGAAGAAAAATGTAATATTTGGTGGCTGCATTTTCTTCTGATAAAATCGAGAATAAAACCATCATTTGAATGAAAGTCTCAATTTATTTGATAGAATAATGTAACGTAATAACTGTTGAAGCCTCTTTTTTTTAACTGAATTAGAACGTTTCAATGAGTCTGGGCTGTAAATTAAAAAAAATACGATAGAGTAACAACATAATATAACAATTGTTGAAGTGTTTTTTCTTTAACCAAATTAGAATATTTAAATGAGTTTTTGTTTTGGCTATGGGTTAAGAAAGTAATTCTTCCGTTTTATTAGAATAATGTAATTTAATGATTATTAAAACCTCTTTCCTTTAACCAAAGTAGAGCATTTAGGCTGTAGGTTAAGATAATTCAGTATTCAAAGCCTCTTAAGTTTTTTAGGGTAATCAAAAGCTATAAAACCACTATCATTTTGCCCTTTTAAAATGTAAGACTTTCGGGTTAAAAACAAACCATCAGATAAATAAATTTAAACTTCTAAAATAATAATCTAGGAATTCTTATAAAAGAATGAAATTCTATCAATAATGCTTTCACATGTTGTACTTTTCGTTGCTATTACCTCGGTTAAAAATAGCTGTCTTTGTTCATATAGTCTCACTAAATATAAATTTTCGAATGAAATCTCTCAAATGATTAGATAAAAATACTTCTTTTTAACAAATGAACAACCTCAAATATTCACATCTGGTGACCTCGTATTTATTTTGGGCAAATATGTGGTTGAGAATTTTAAACAGTATATCACTATCACATACGTCAGTATTATCAATATTGGAAATCCTAACCGTGAATTTGATATGAGTAATGTTCCTCTATGCATACCTTACTGTATATTTTCGGTGATTGCTAATTATAAACCTAAAGAAATTGAGGATTATATTCATTTTGGTATGGAAAGTGTCAAGTACAACTCTGTCACTGGCACTCCTAATATTAAAATGCAGATGACGGTTCTTTACTCTTCTCAAGCTATTAGGTTTCAAAAATATCTAAATATAGCAGGCTCTAATATTAAATTAGAAAATATTTATTTTGTATCTGGGCTTTTTAAGTTTTCAAAGTCCGGCCAAATGATCATCAAGGCAACCGATATCGACTATTTGAAAACCTCAAACTTAAATTATAATGCTTCCGAAAATTTCACCTTGATAGCTTCTGGGCCTCGTTTGATTATTGATGTTGTTGCAGATGATATCGAATCTACCACTACTCAAATACTGTTTAAACATACTGAACCCTCCACTTCAATCAAATCTAATGATATTAGTGCTTCTAAGTCGTCAGAGATCTCTGTTGAAGCTGTTGTCGTAGTTGATTCTTCTCATGAAAACAAAAAGTTAAGTTATCAACCAGACTACATTGATTTGGATACTCAAAATAACAAAAAAGCCGATATATCAGATATTGAAGACAATGATGAGATGGAAGACTCACAGTCTAAAAAATGAAAAAAAAATATTGAAATCATTACAGATAAAAAAAAAAAGCGTTAGAAAAGGAAAAGAAAAATAAGAAATGTAAATAATTTATCAATTTTTACCATATTAGAAATAAATTTATAAATTAGCCCAAGTTTCAATGCATATGATCACATGTTTATAAATTTTTACTTGTAATAATTGTCGATATTATCGTCGTTCCCGTTTAATAAAATTTAATAAAAGAGTAAAAGTGTCTTTATATACAAATAAAGGTTACAAAAGTTTTTGATTATTAAGCTTCTTAATGGTATATTACCACGTAATAAATGTGAATAAATTTTGCGATTGTGTTCTCAATTTAAATAGTTGGTATTTAATACATTTTTACGACTACTTGTATCCTTATATGCATTTAGCTATGTGCTTTTACTCACCCTAAAATCTTTCATTTTATATATTATTCAATAGCCTTTAACTCATATAAAGGATTATACAAAACATTTATTATCACTTCTGATTATACCTAAACTTATAGAAGATGGAATCTGTGTGTATTAATACTGTTATGGTAAAATAGATAAAAATGTTAGTAAAGGTTTATACAATATAAATACATTTTCGTTAAATTACTTTGTACATAAAACTACAATGCATCAAAGATCATACTTGAATTAGTAATAATATATGCATATTTGTAAATCTTAGAGTTTTTTTTTTACCAAAAACGAAAACATAATCTTAGAAAATATAAGTTCTAAAGGTAATGGGTGAAAAAAAATGTGATTTCATAAGAAACATAAGCCTTAAATTATAACAGTAGTTTCTTTTTGTAAATATAAAGATTTATAAGAAGGATCAATTTTTACCCTTGATAAAGTCCTTAGTCTCTGATGTCTTATGATAGTTGATAATAAAGATCGATTTCTTAAGTATATTAAATAAAAATTATTTTTGCTAAATAGTAAAACCTGAGTAATAACTGTTATGTTTAAATATGTTCGAATCAACAATATATATGACTTAACATTAGAATAATAAGTTGACCCTGATTACTTATTATGTATTTTATTACGTAAGGGAGGGTCGGTATTTTGTCACGAGGGGTATTTTGGCGCACTTACTAGTATATTTTTTATAATATCTTGTGATACACTGATCAGAATCAATTATTTTTGGTACCATCGATTTGTTTTCTGAGACGAATCGAATACTACAAAAATTAATCAATTCGATCATGACTTGAAGAAAGGTCAGGCGTTATTGTGTAATTCTTATGTTATTTTCTCTTTTTTCCTATCTGGGCCAATTCGAAAAAAAAGATCAGCAAAGTACAATCTAAAAAGAGTTATCTGCACATACTTAACACAATACGTACTGAATATTGTGTGCCAAATACCTCCAGTTAAGAAAAAATATAACAGTTTTTAAATAACTTTTAGAAGTTAACTATCGAGTTTTTTAAAAAAAAAATTAAAAATTTTTTTTGGTTAATCGATAGATATTAAATCAAATATCAGTTTATTTCAATAAATTTTAGAAATTATATATTTTCATGAGAACTTTTATTATTAGCACTCTTAGATACACCAGAATACCTAACTCTCCCTTACTTAAAAAAGCTGATCAATAATTTAAATCATCCTATTACATATAGAAGTCTTCTTGTCGCTTATTATATAGACCCAAATAGTAATAAATTTATAATTCTCTAAAATAGTAATGGTCTGTTTAACTTAATAACAGTTCTTCGAACATAACAATAATAACAAGAGTTAACATCGTACAAAAAATTAAAATAAAATAAATAATATATGTTATAAAAGACAACTAAATCTGGTAATTAAACAATTTATCTTTTGCTAAAATCTTCAGTTTTTTATTTTGGTTTTTGACTATATTATGACAAGGGAGAGACTTCGCCGATTTAGTTATAGATCGTAGATACTTTATTTACTAAAAGAGCCAGATTCAAGTTATACCAAAAAAAGAGTTTATCTTTCTTAACGACTATAACCCTTTATATGGGTTTTCTAATAAACTCAAATTAACTTTGTAAAAAAGTCATTACGCAGAATAAGGTAATAATTTTAACAATGCGAAAGTGTAATATATAGTTTAATAAAGTAAAACTGATGATTATATATGCGTAAAAAATGTAGTAATCATATGCAAAAGTTTAATAAAGTAATAAAAAATCATTATTTAAGGCTAATGCTAAAGCTAGTTACAATATTTTGTTGTAGCAACTATCGTCTCATTACCTTGTAAAAAGTTTGACAGAAAAAAATAAAAAACTATAAATATGGGTGATTATTTTTGAATTCAGACCAAAAATGTTATTACGTTATATATATAAAATTTACTCGAGTTTAAAAATAATCACCTATATTAAAAAATCAGATTAATAAACCCGGTGAAGAAACTTAGAAAAAAGATCTAAACACCAAATAGTATATAAGATTAGTCTTCCATTACTTCAAATTTTTTATACTAAACATCAACATGATCATGAACATGACCATAAAATATTACGAGAAATGTAACCAATATCGTGGCCACCTTCAACGTTTTATTTTGTAATTTTGTATAACAGGATTTGCCAAAAATAACCTAATTTTGAAAACGGTTTTTTTCTTGTATTAAATATAGAAATGGACGGTTACTAAATATATACATATAGAAATACAATGGCACCTTGTATAATTTGATGAATATTATAAATCACCTTTTGTAAAGTACGTGAGTATTAAATTTTCTAACCTTGAGTTATACAAGTTAATTATATCATGGCTAAAAATATCATTTTCAAGAATATTTTCGATATTAAGGCATACTACACTATATATCACGTGATTTAAAGATTAAAGGATATCATTGTGATCAGGCTATAAATATTAGTCATGACGATGGTCAGCCACCATAAACAAATACAAAATTCCAAATATCTAAAAAACTAGTACACATAGAAGGGAAAAAGAGAACCATAATATTTAGAGGCTATAACTTTTTCTAATTAAAATAATAAATCCTAAAAGTATCATTCTTATACCAAAATCATATAACGTAATGCTTATTAAGCCCCTTTTACTTCTCTAGATTATATATAATGTTCAAAGCCTCTTAGATGATTTAGAGAAATCAGAAGCTATAAAAGCACTGTAGTTTTGCTATTGTAAAATATTAAGATCTTCAGATTAAGAACAAACTATTTGATAAATAAAACTAAAACCTCTTGATAAAATAAAATCTTTTTAATAAATCACCCTAATCAAATCTTTGGCAAGCCTTCAATTTCCTATTTTTAAAATATATTTTAGATCACCTTTTAGGTCGAAGTCAAATTTTACCCATAACGATCAAAAATAAAGCTTCTATATTGTTGAGAGTTTAATTTAATTTAATATAAAAAAATTATCATATTAGCTTAAAACACACTATAATCTATATAGAAACTAGAGATGAAGCTAGAAAAAGAAAAACTGTGAACAAATAGCCTCAAGACGTAAAAATTCTCAAACCAAGTATCACTAAATACGAATCAAAATATTCGTCAGAAAAAAAAGAAAATTCAGGCACAACTCACAAGGGACCGTCTAGCTGATGATTTGGGCATTCCTTTGCGTATTATGAAATTGAATGAAGAATTTGAAATAATTAATCAACGATATATTAATTGGCCACAATCTATTAGAAAAGAAATAGCTAAAGACGCATTAGCTAAATTTCAAGATAAAATTGATCATAATAAATTGCATGAATTATCATGCGCAATTTGTTTAGTCATTTGTAGCTACAAATATTACAAAGAAATTTCTGTGCAAGAAATTGATCTTTCTTTAATTAAAGCACTGCTAGACCTCACTGATCTGTCATTTGAAATCAATTTCGATTATAATCATCTTTATATTAATACTAGTGGACTAAATGTTTTTCTTGACCGTTCAGGATTCATATACCTGCCTGAATGTTTTAGTAATTCTAATAATCTTTACGACCTCTTTCAGTTGCGAATTTGCCAATCTTGTTATAACTGTTTACAAAAGCGCAAGACTTCTCCATTATCATTAGCAAATAATATATGGATTGGACCCACGCCTACATGTCTTCAAGACCTAACAATTCTAGAACAACTCCTCATTTTACTTGGATACCTATATATGAATCTCATACAGATAATGAAAAGAAAATATTCTTATCATAAACTTAAAGAACACGTCATAACGTTATCTCAAAATCCAAGCTCTTTAATTGATGTATTACCCCTACTGATATTTAAGCTCTGTGAATATATAAAAGTAGTATTTATCAGAAAAGGGACCCCTACCCAACACCAGCTTAAAAAAGTGCCCCAAGTTCGAAAAAGTAAAGTAATAGTAGCCCTCTGGTGGCTTTTTGTCTATAATAAATTATTTAAAAATAGTATTAAGCTTGATGAGAATAGTTTAAATAATCTACCAGAAGGGAAAATTCTTGAAGCTTTAACTATAATAACTACGGTCATAGATATTAATTCTCGACAAACTAACCATTATACTGGCTACACTTACGATCCGTCATCAAATCAGCAAGAGTCTAATAGCAAAACTGACGATAGTGAAGATAAACAACTTAATACTAATAAGCATGATTCAAAAAAATTTAACAATAATAATTTGATTAATGATGCAGATCAACTCAGACCTTCTGGAATAATAGATGTTAATAATGTACAAATTACAAAGAAAGAGCTCACTTTGCTCTCTTTTCAAAAGCTTATTGATAAACTAGATTACTGTATTTATAATTACCGTACAGCGTGGACCATAGTACCCCGGATACGATACATTTCACAGGCAAAATCCAAGTTAGTACCCGGGTATTATATTTAGCAATTTTTTTCATATAAAAATTTTTTACTATTAATAAAAATCAATTGATATAGTATAGATATCCCCTATATTATATCCGGGTATTTTATATTTCACCATATAATTTTTTTTAAGAGGATACTTTGATATGGGAGGATACTATGGTCTGCGCTGTACAGT